TGTGCACAATAGCTTCATTATGACATGGGGAGAGATGTCTGCTGTTGTTTTTAATCTGATAGCTTTTAAATATGTGCATCCATCAGACACCCAAATGGCCTTTAAAAAGGGAACCATTTGTGGGATAAGATATTTTAGGCTCCACTTCTCTCTAACAAGCCGCAAGGGTCAGTTCAAGCTGGAAAATGTAATCCTTTTTTAAGGCTTTGTCTCCTCTGAAGCTGCAAGGTTTTGGTGTGTGAACACATACAGAGTGACAGAAGATGGAGGGTTTAGGTTTTCAGGTGAAAGGAAGAAAAGAGGTACTGTATTCTAAAGTTCGGGGGTTTTTTATTTAAAAAAAAAATCTATTTTCAATTTGTTTAGTATGGTCCAAGCACTAGACAAGTTGAACAGTTCAATTGCCCGTCCCTGCTGCTGGAGCCTGCCTTGTCATTGAACTGTGCCTTGGTGACAAAAACATGACCAGGAGGTGCAGAAGCAGACAGGGGCTTATTTCCCATCTCCGAAGCCTCCCATGTGCTGGTTACGAGCAGCTGGCCTGGGAGGCGGCTGGTGAGGAGGACCTGGCAGCTGGAAAGCCTGCTGTGACTGAGCTGTGTAAAAAGCTGAACTTTCACTTTGACTTTAAAGTAAATCGCTGCTGGGTTAGGTTTGTGAAATTCACCAGCGTGCGCGTGTTTTGACTTAATTTCTGGTGTTCATTTGAATCTGAGTGGAAAGTGACTGCTTGACTATGGCAGTGGTGAACACTGGGCTTTGACTTGCCGGCTTTCTCCTAAGCAGCCTAGGTTCTTCACCCACAAGCACATAAGCTGATTTATCTGCCTTCCCTTGTGCCTCTTAATCCGCTGTCCTTTAAAATCTGCAGTTCTTTCCTCACCAGATTTAGCTTTCTGTCAGCAAACTGGCAGGCAGCACCGCTTCGCCGGGGCTGGGGGAGCTGCCGGGGGACGAGGCGGCTCCTGGCTGGCCATGGCCTCCTGGCCCGGGGGGCTCAACGGGAGCCGAAAAAACCCTCCGGTCACACCTGGCAGCAGGGCTGCTTGGAGCAGGCGCGTAACGTGAGCTTTCTCGTGTTGTGTGTGTGGCCGGACCCCAGACGCGTGCCGGCCGGGGGAGATGAGCCCGAGAGCTGAGCAAGGCCATGACTCAACAGCTGGAGCGCGTTCAAGCACAGCGGAGCAGGAGCCTCATTAATAGGGGGATGGAATTAGCAGTGAAATGAGTGACATATTAAAACTTCCAGTCAGAAATCAAGAAACTCAAATCCATAGTAAAGTAATTTTGAAGCGATTTTTTTTTTCCAGCAGCAGAGCATCCAGAGGGATGAAATATGAGGGGATGGAAAGTCAGTGGTTCCTTTGAGACAGAAGCACTTCGATACAACAGTATTTCTTTTCTCCCCTTCCAGCTGAAATCACTCCCATCCAGCTTGTTACCCTGTCTTTTCCCATTCATCTGATAAATATTTGGACACTGCATAGAAGTGCGGGGTACCCTCCTCCTGCGTACCAGAAGGGAGAAAGGGAAGTTCAGAAGGCGGGTGCTGAGACTCCAGTTAAACACTACCAGTTATTCATCAATAAGAGGCGAGGGTAACATGATAGAACAATTTCCAGTGGGCAGACTACCAAGCTCAGGAGCAATCTCAATGCTGCATTAAGGGGTTTGGTTACTGTAGAGAGGCAGGAAGGAGCAAAGGGACAGGAGAAGCGGTTTGAGCACTGCCGTGGCTCTGTTTTCTGCTTCTCTTTGTAGGTTATCACATTATGTGATCTGTAAAGGCATGCTGCGCTGTTTGAACTTTTAAATTGGACAGACATAGGACGTTAGACATTTAAATTAAGATGTAGTGTAAAGAAAGTAACTTTCTCAAAGCAAACCAGTGCTTCCTAAGTTTAGGAAGTCTTGCTCAGCTGTGCTTTTTGCAGGAGAGTTTCATGTTCATCTGTAGAAGCTCAGGTGACTTAACGCCTTTGAGCAAGAATACCTTCCTATTTAAGTGTAACTTCTTTTTCATACCACTTACTCAGATTCATTAAAATGCAAATTCTGTTTATAACTCTTGAACGATGTATCTGCTTGAAAACCGTAAAGCCCAGTAAGTGCCAAATAACGTCTGTTGGCACTCACTGAATATAAGTGCAGTAGCTCCACCGCTTGATTCACAAGTGGGGGGAGAGGGACGAGGGCCTGCAGCTTGATGGAGACTTTGTAGTCACTGATTCACCCTGGGCTCCGTTTAGACAAGTTGCTTCACCTTTGTGCCTCCTTCCCATCTGCAGAGTAAGGTTAAGACCTAACTGGTCAAGGATGAGACAGATATGTTTGTAATGTGCTTGGAACAAGAAAAGCACTATTTTAAGTGCAAAGTGTAATTTGAGTGTAAGAGAATATTGGTTTGTGACTCATTTGTTTAACTGCAAATGCATCAGAAACTTATGAGATCTGGAAAATGCTTGTTGTAGATGGAAAGACATGGTAGTAAAAAGCTGCATTAATTTGTGATCTTCAAAGCAGGACTTAGCAGGGCTGTACAAACAATAACATTTATTATTTTTGCAAATGTCAGCTGGTTTACTTCAGTAGTACTATTTTAAGAAGTTCCCGTTCTGCTCCAGCCATTTACTCCTATCCTCTCTCTGTAGGTCGGTGTCCCCTCAGAGCGTGGCGTGCAAATGATTCAATGTCTGATGTGACAGAAGGGTAAAGAGAGCGAAGGGAAATGGTTAGGCTGGTGGTGAAGGGAACCTGCTGTCAGCAGAAGAGAAACTTTCTCCACTGACAAGACATCTCCTTTTGGAGGCTCCAGGCCATACGCACACATTGGTTCAGCTGCTCCTGTGCCTGCCCCATAAAGGTGGGCAGAGATGTCTACTGAGAAGCAGAAATTCTAGTCTTCTGAAATCTTTCTCCCTTCCAAATTTCTTGTCCCTACAAGGCAAAATTATAGCCATAAGCAACCGAGGGTTTTGGAGGTATCGAACATTTTCTTACTCAGACAAGGAGTTTGGATCTCACTGCAGCCCATGGAGGAGCCAGACGCCATTTGTTGCTGCTACCATTATTTCCCTGTAGATTAATTATTGTAATGGTTTGCCAGTTCTTCAAAAATAAATTCAGAGCCATGACTTCTCTCGACAAGCATGTATACGCGTGCATGTTTAGAAATTCTCATATGGTGTACGAAATAAATAGGAATTATTTTTTGAGAGGGAGTGCAAAAGCATTATCGCAGCAGCCAGGAACTGTTTTCAGTGGTGACCTTCAGCACCCTGTGGAGCCGCAGAGGTTTTAAAGGTTTGGAGAGCCCCTTGTGGATGTAAAGCAATGACGTAAATTGTTGCTAAGTTAGGGTGCCAGCTGCTGTAAGTGATTCTTCAGAGGCCAACTGATATGTCTGGATCCATCTGCAGTGGCCAAGGGTTTTAGTGCCTCCCTCCTCAGTGCGTTAAACAGGACTTTATGATACGAAGAAAACTTTGAAAAACATTTACTCCTGTAAATGGAGACCAGGTCTGCAGCCAAACTAGATTAGAATCGGTGCTGATGCAGCTTCCGTTAATAGGATGCCTGCAAAATTTTGATCTAGGGGACATAACTAACCAGAGTTTTGGCTCTGGTGAAGGTGTTAATAGCAGGGTCTTAACACGCTACCAGGAAACCAAGTGTAAAGGGAGACAGCCCTTATGGGGAGGGCAAGCGCAGGTTCCTTCCCTTGAGCTGTGGTTAGGTAATTTCTGAGTATGAGGAGCGGCGTTTGCGCTGCAGTGTGGTATTTAGCTTCTGGGTGCTAGGTTTGACTCAGCAGCCTTTTCTGTTTGCAGTCTGCACGCTAACAAGGTGGTGCAGTGCTGCATGCATCAGACTGTGTCGTTTTGACTCATTATAGCCAGTGCAGTCAATTCCCAAATAATCTAAAAGAAAAATGAAACCTGCAGCAAGACTGCTTACTTTTCTTGATAGTGTAGTGACAGACAAGTTTGATATCTTCTGCTGAATTATCTGGGCCACTAGAGAGCAATTCAGACCTTCATTTATTACAGTGCTCTTTGCTCAAAATACATTCTAACTTGCTCTCTACAAGGCAGCTTAGTTTTATTTAGCTTCATGGATAAACAGATGAAAATATATTTCAACAGTAAGTCTGCATATGGCATGATGGCAAACCTTTGAGACTTCTGCTTTTATTTAGATATTCAAAAAATAACAAAAATATGATTTTTAAAAGGGTTGGTCAGTTCGGTAGTGAAACTTCTTCAATGATGCCCTGGTATTGAAGCAGTTCCTCTGTTCTGTGGTTTATCTGGTGCATTTGAAGTGAAAACCATCGGGAATGACAAGGGCTGGTATTTTTGTTCAGATTATCCATGGAGCCACATGCAAAGGAGATGCTACCAAGTGGGTAGAGATCAGCAGCCTGGGAAGGGCTTTATGTTGGACTGTGTTTTACTTTCCTGAAGCAGCCACCACCCTGGTGGCTACCACAGGTAGAGAGCAGAACTACCATGGGCAGAGAACCCTGCCTGCGCACCCATGGTGGGCACTGACTCCCAGCCAAGACAGGGGCAGGAGCTCTGCTCTGCCAGAGGTCTGTGAACAAGTCACTTTATCCCCTTGACTAAGTTGCTCATCGGCAAAAGAGGGACGATGATTACCTCCTTTGTAAAGTACTTTGGGATCTGCTGGAGATAAGTGCTTTTGAGAGGTGTTTTTCCTTTTCTCTCCAAGGCACAGAGCGGTAGCAATCCCACTGTTCCTGCCTTTGTACTGCAGCGTCGCTGCCTCCGAGGGGAAGCAGGAAATGATGGTGATATTGCGGTTGGAAACATAATAGAGAGCCACAATTTTTATTTTTTTTTATCCTGTTCCACTCAATAAATTTACATGGCTGCAATGTTTTTCGTAGGCTGGTCTTCCAGATAATGCTGTGACACAACTTCCCTGGTTTCGACAAATATACCCTAATCCAGTAACGCATTTCTGTGTCTTTCTAGATTCTGAGCGTTCCCATCTCTCCTCGTTCACTATGAAGTTGAAGGGCAAGTTTCATTCACCAAAAATAAAGAGAACCCCTTCAAAGAAAGGAAAGCAAGCTGACCTGACAGTGAAAACACCAGAGAAGTCAGCGAACAAAGTAAGCAGACAAAGGACATGTTATGTTAGTCTTGCTGATTTCTTGCTTGCTGGTGCTGTTTATCAAAATCCACAGTGCTGCTTTAGATGCGTGACTTCGTCCTCCGCAGAATTCGGCAGATTTTTCAGGGATCCTCAGGGTTACTGTATGGTTAGTTATAAACTGTGCTGTGTAGTATAAAATAGGAGCAACCAAGGCATGTACTTGCCTTTGGAGAGCCTGATGAGACCTCCTTCCATAAGCGTTTAAATATCTCATTGTGGAATGTAGTTTATGGCTTGACACATCCTCTCCACTTGCACACCCTATGGTTTTGCTTACAGCTTCCAAATAACTGCCTGGGTTTGGGGTGTGATCCTTTTAAAAAAAAAAACCCAAAACCCAGGCCAGCAAATCCTTGAAGATGGTCCAAAGATGTGTTCAATCTCTGACGACATCAGCAGGGAGAGTCAAACAGATGCGTGCAAGCATTCCACACACCGTTCCTCAGACCCAACCTACTTCAGGTCTTCTAAGAGCTGAGGTCACCACTCTTTCCCGGCACAAACCTATCAAAGTGTCACCTCCTCTGCTGTTGTGACCTGATTATGTAGACTGGAGACTATCTAGATAACAATGCTGTTACAGTCAGTTTTCAAGTATAAATCTAAGCCAAGAGTTAGGAGCAGTCGAGGTTATTTATGATAATTCAAAATCTTTTCCAGTCGTTGTTGGAAATCTCATCCAATGTGCAGCGCCAGACATGCAAACTTTTTTTAGATTATCTCTGCTGAGGATTGTTGTAGTGTTATTGAGAGCAGTCAGCAAGATACAGTTATCTCGTGCAGCGTGATGTGCTTAACACCCAGAGAAGTCAATGCAGGGCTTCCTAGCACTATTCTGCACCATCAGGTGGAAGATGATGAGGCTTTTATATCCCAGGCTGTAGTTGTTTGGTTTTTTTCTTTCCCCCAGGAGACTATGGATATACTTTCTAGGGAGTCAAGCACCTTGTATTGCTGGCTGCTACCGAAAAATAAAAAAAAAAAAAAACCCTGGGAGTACTCCTTGAAGGCTTTTAATTCCAACAATGCTTCAGGATCATATATCGAGATGATTTAGAGGCCTGCCTTTCAATTGATATGTGACCACATACTAAATAAATTAGAAAATGAAGACCCATTTTCAAAAGGCTATTCTATAGCAAATACGTATTAGCACGTTCATAATAGGTGAAGTTTTTGCTTTGCTTTGTTTCCTCTAAAACACACTGCAAGAGGATTTACTGATAAGGCATGCTGAACCTGTAAAACCTCTTTTTATGTACAGATTGGGGTTTTTTTACTGAAAACCAAAACAATTGCAATAATTTTTATTATCACACATGATTATTTAAACTTTATACATTTTTATACTGTGAAATATTGTTGATTTCTGGCTCATTCTTATCTATTTTAATAGCTACTGTCCAACTAATCAATTAGTTGGATGTAGTCAGCTCATTAGCTTTGTGTGGATGGAGTGGGGAAGAGGATATGCCTGGACTGGCACCATGTTCTCTCACTGGAATATAGACATCAGTTGACAAACAGATTTTCCATCAGAAGACACACTTGATACACCAAATATCATCCTTTCCTCTCTCTTAAGTACTTAAGATGCTATTTTTATACTCTTGAAGTAGATAATCACTGTAGAGCAGAAATAGCAATACCAAAAATTAATGTAAAATCACTATGTGTAACCTGAAGGTTATGCTCAACCCATGCAGGCATCTTCTCTTATAAATGAGATGCAGACACTGGAATATACTCCTATCCATCCATCCACCCCACCGGGTTATTACTGCCTGCTCCTGTTCCCAGGCCTCAGTGAGTAAAGCACTGAACACCAGAAACTTCACCCTCATGGTAACAACTGACATTTATATATCTGAGCTCCGTAGCAGAACCTGCAATCCTGTGTAGGATGTGTAGGCTTTATTTTTGTGTGTTTGTGTGCGCATGTATACACACATAGATATGATGCCTTTGGACCTCAGAAAGGGATTCATAAGAAGTGCTCATATGGGATTGTCGCCCGAAGAGCTAGCAGGGGAGTTGCAAAAAAGGGCTGCGTCCCAAATAGCGTCCGGTGGCTGGATTTGCATGCCTTGATGTGCTCAGCAGAAGGATTTGTGTTTCCACTTGTCATTCTCAGCCCTGAACTCTCAGAGTCAAGCCCATCCCTCCTTTGTGCCAGGAGAAGTGTTTAAGCTATTAAGTCGCAGGTCTTTCTACAGGAAACAGTTGTTGAATGAAACACATAAGCAGCCATCAGAGCAGGAACTGCAATCCACATTTTTTCACTTCTGTTTGAGAGCTCTGACCACTGGGCCATAGTCATACTCGCTCAGGGAGTATATGGGTTCTCTCATCCCTGAAATGTGTGGTCATATGAAGTGCAAAACCTTCACGGGAGGGACTGAGCCTCTCCATATCCTGGAATAAACTGTGCAGTGGTGAGGGCATATGCCTAAAAAATGGGGAACGTCATTTTTTACATCAGCGAATTGCCAGGATACTCCTCAGCAAGGGAGTTCAAGGTGGCTGTGAGCTGTGGAGCAGAACTTGAGGTGCCTGGCAAGCAATATTGTCAGAATTGGAAGCAGCAGCAGAGTTTGGGCACTTCCCAGATGAGATGGAAAATGACAGGGTGGTTTGCAGATCTTGGATTGGGACTTAGACTTCTAAAGTTGGAGCTGGATGGGACTTGGGACTCTAATCCTTTTATGCAACTAGCCCCAAATTACTAACCAGTGCTGCCTATAAATTGTTCTTCCTAAAACCTTTTGGGCTGCTGGCCTGATTTTGCAGAAAAGCAGCAGTTTAACAGCTGACAAGAGTGTGGGGAGCACACAATGCCCATAGGTCATTAATTCTTGAAGCTGAATTTACTGAGGAGATAATGGATGAAACCTGACTCTGCTAATCTCTCTGCTCCTTTTCTAGCAGTGTTCAGTAGTTAATTTAAATCTCACTTAGGAACTACTTGTGGCATTAGAAGTCCTCCAGGCATACTCTGGTAAACTTTTTAAACAAATCCCTGTCCAGAATGCCATTAAGATATCATGTATCACTTCTGAATTTCCTTTTCTAGTGTTGGTGGTGGCACAGGAGTATGTGACCACAACTCAGCTTTATTCCAATGAATTGTTCCCTTCTGCAACATTCATTCACTGATGCCAAAACTTCGCTTTCACAATCTGTCCCCATGGACAGTGTGTGAGTTCCCTTGTTCCAGCAGCATCACAAAATGACTTAGGTTGGAGACTGATCGGATAGGAGTTTTTTATTTGTGAACAGAAAGACAAGACTGTAGCCCACTTTCATACAAGTAGGCATATTGGAGTCAGCAGAATCACTCAGAATAATAAAGGTGAACACCACATATTTTGTTGAAATTATCAGGGATGGGTACAAAAATGGAGGCATCTGTTTGGATTGTTCTAGAGTTCGGAAGTTTTTCTGATTGTGGGAGGGTTTTTTCCTCTTTTCTTTTTCCCTTTGACTGATCCACTGCATTTACTGATTGAAAAGACCTTTTGATAATGAGATGTGCTTAAGGTGAAAGGATTTGAATCACATCAGAGGAGCAACTCTATTAAAACCAGTAGTTGGTGCTTCCTTTCTTGCATTATCTTTACTATCTGCATTTAGTAGATTTTTTTTTTCTTTCACCCTCCCAGTTTGGTCTGTGGGTTTCAAAGCAGTGCCCTTCACGTTGTTAGTAGTGTTAATTTTGGCCTAAAACTCATGAAGATAAGTCTTCAGTTTGGAATGCACATGATTCAGAAAGTTAAAGTGTGGGTGCAATTTTGCACTGACCATTCTTTTGAAAGAGTAGTAATTGAGTTTAAAAGTGTTTGTGGTAGAAGGGGTTTTCTCCAGTTCTCTGAAGTAGAATGTACTGCATTCAGTGTCGCCATCCTTTAGGTAAGGTAAGGTAACCCTGCCCTTAAAAATCCTGAGGTTTTAACATATCTCTCCTTTTTTCCTCCTCTTTAGAATGTATCATGGCTAGAGGAAAAGGAGAAGGAGGTTGTCAGTGCATTGCGCTACTTTAAGACTATTGTGGACAAAATGGCAATTGATAAGAAAGTATTAGAGATGCTGCCAGGCTCGGCAAGTAAAGTGCTGGAAGCCATCCTGCCCTTGGTGCAAACTGATCCACGCATCCAGCAAAGGTAAGTTTCGTTGGGTTTTGGGACTGTGACAGACCAGTAGGCACCCAACTTCTTTCCTTCTTGTGTCTGAAGAATTATATCGCGCAGGAGACACGAAATGCTGCAGTAGCTAATGAAGTGACTGCTATTTTTACTAATTATGTGATAGTTTTCAAACATAACTTAAAAGCAGATTTCCTGCTGCGAAGAAATCCGTGCTGTGGAAAGATAAAGCAAATCAGAATGGTTTCAGAGAGGAGGAAGGGCTGATTCTTAGCATAAACTTGGAAATTCATCATTTACTAGCGGGACATTCTCCTCAGATGCTATACTGTTTCTGCAGTCCATGATGATATCCTAAAAGCTAGCAAATCCAATAGCTTTTACCTGAAAAAGAGTTCATCTTCAGAGTAATCCCTTTTTGTGTTCAGTTTATCCACCCTGATACTAGAGAAGTCTGAGCCTGCACTCTTAACTGCTTTTTTTTATTTTACTGGATCAGATACAGAATAGAAGCAAACAGATACACTTCAGTAGATTAACCAGTCCAAGTTCATTCCTGTGCACTCTCAACAGATTATTTGTTTTATGTTTTAACAGATTATGTGTATTATGTTTTAACCAGTTAGACAGTGGGGTTGAAGCCAGAAAAGAAGTAGAAATGTGCCAAAGCCAAGCTCAGCATGGATTATAAGAATTTGTGGAGTTGTCAAGCCATGGAGATATAGCTACTGTTCATCCCATAGATGCTGGAGCAAGTGATTTACACAAAACAAGCAAACATTGATGAATAATACAGAAACAGCAAAATTAGCACAGACAAAACTAGGCAAAGAAATGCAGGTATTTGGTTCCTGAAATCCTGACGATTTTTGTGCTGTTCCTATTTGTTTTCCCATGAAATATCTCCAAAATTTTTGTTTCAAGATGTTTACTTAAATTCTGGTGCGAGAAAGGTTTATAGTATGGTTGAGACAGCAGTAGGGTGCCAAATATTTTGCAAACAGGGATGCTTAGCTGTGTTTGGCCCTAATGCAGAGGTCAGGATTGTATCTGACAGTACAAAATGAAGGAGGCAATGGGTGAGTATCAGAGCTGTGGCTGAGACAAGAGGGATCCAATTTAGGTTAGATCTATAGAACTACAAAGACCAATAGCTGTTAGAACGGGAGCATTCATCAGGCTTCTGGATACAGACATGAAAGTTTCTTCAGTTGCTATCAGGTTTCCCACAGCCATTAAATTCCTGACAAGCACCTGCTTTCACTTAATAAAAGAAAGAACAAACTTTCCTTTTACATCAGGAGAACATGTAAAATGTCAGAATATATTTTTAGGATACAACATGTCATCTTTATAGTCACTTGCTTTGATTTGTGTATCCACTGGGTGTTCGCTGAATTATCTTAACTTCCAAGAATATATTTTGAAATAAATACCAGCTAAGTAGTCTTCGGCAGCAGACATTTCTGTTGTTCAAATTCCTTATACCCTCTCTCTCTTAGTAGTGAACTAATGCAGCCTTGACAATTGGATATCCATATTTACTCATATAAGCAGAATTTTCATAGTCAGTAGTCAACGGAGTCCGCTACGTAGTGATAAGTCTCTTTTTCTGGAAACAGTATGTATTACAGCACAGATCCCGTATGTATGTTCTGCCTTGTTTAGCCTCACAGGGAAAAAAGGTGATCTGGCATTCTCAAAAAGCCATGTCCTTTTGTGCTGACCTATGTACTTTATTTCTTTTGAGTAGTGTCAGGACACAAAGTGGTGATTTTTGATAGCAAATCCCCCTCAAGAAAAGTGAGCAAGACTTGTCTCAGTGTGGAAGAAAGTCCTACAATTATTGTTGGACTTCTTTTTGCTTTAGGGCAAGCATTTGCATCAAGGAAAAAAGTAATTAAATCTAGCACAAAATGGGCTTTCAATTACCACCTCCTTAGAAGGAAGCAGACTGAAGGTTAATGGCAAAGAAATCAAAGCCTTAGAAAGAGATGGGGGAGAGCCCTCTTTAGGAAATATCTCCTACTAAGCTGATTTCATTTGAAGCTAGAACAAATGGCAAGCAGCATGATTTAAAAAAAAAACAACAATACCAACAACCAAACAAAAATTACTTGCTGTTGTTTGTATCCCCCTGGTTGTAACTTGACAATCCTTCTTTTCCCAGTCCTGCAAACCTCATTCACCTTTATTTAGGTGAATCTTCTCATTGAAGCCTGTGGGCTTGGTTCTCTTCTCACAGATAATGAAATTACTGGAGTAAAGCCAGTGTAAAATGGATACCAAAGAGAAATGGGAAGATTTGGAACACTTGTATCAGTAATGATTGCAAGATTACACCTTCTCTTATCTGTTTATGGTTTTGATGCAGTTTGAAATTGATTTAACTTTACAAAGAATTGTTGAAGCGTTGCCATCAGCGGTACCCTTAACACACCTTGTTTAGTAATGAAGTGTTTTCAGAATAGCCAGGAAAATGCCTGCGAGCATGATTGTTACAGTTAACTTTTATTTAGAATTGTCATCCTTCCAAAATTCTTTTTTTCCCCCCTGTCAGAACAATAGCTTCAATTCTGTTTCTCATTAAAAACAAAACAAAGCAACACCCTTCCTCTTCCAAACCTGAAATTCATTCAGTTCAATTTCTGTAAAGGAGCAGGTTTTAGTTACATGTTTTCAGGCGTTATAAACAGTGAGGAAATGATTTGTAAGGGAATGAATACAGTCAGCTCTCAATTATCCAAGACATTTTTTGGGAGACTTAATAAGGAAGAAGGAAGTCATAGGTGATACTGAAATGATATAACTTTGACTTAAATACAGGACTTAAATATTTACCTTTGAAGTTAAGGCATAGGATGAAGCTGTAATTAAAATGAAAAGCATTGTCTTTTTAACATTGCTGTGTTAACCTGCAGCCCAGATAATTCATTCTGTTAGCTGAGAATGAACTGTTGATCGTTTGTACTGTTGTTCCATTTGGTGCTGGAGACCAGGAGAGCAACTGCAGTGGAGAGGAAACCCAGGCTTTGTCACCTGCTAAACACAAATTCTGAATGTCAGAGAGAAAAGGAGAACAATCACATTTTAAATGTGTTAAATTTGAAGTGTGAAATGCACTGTTATTAAATATCAAGCACTCTTGTAACGTCTGATAGTATCTCCATAATTTCATTTTGTTCTTTTTTCTCAACTATTTCCTCCCCTGCCATCCAGTTCCGCCATCTCGTCCTGCTACAGCCGTGTGTACCAGAGTCTGGCCAATCTAATTCGCTGGTCTGATCAAGTGATGCTGGAAGGTGTGAATTCAGAAGACAAGGAGATGGTGACGACAGTGAAGGGTGTCATAAAAGCTGTTCTGGATGGAGTCAAGGTACATGAGTCAAACATTGTAAATTATATAAGGTATAAAATAATGTATTTTAGAAGACATCTAGGTGAAAGAGGTTTTTGAGTGCAGGTAAAATATAAAGATCATATTCTTCCCTTTTGTAAACTACCTCTTAAATCAACTGCTCTATAAGTGGACTGATCCCGCTTGGAGTGCTGGTTAAAGACTAGCACAAACGGTTTGGCTATTACTGTGCACCTCTGAAATGCACACCCTGGCATTTGGATGAATTGGAAAAAGCAATAAATCTTTATTGAGCATTGTATTTTCTGCGTGTCAGTCCCAGTCTCCCAGTCTTGTGTGTCGATTACAAGACAGAGTTTGCATATTCTCTGTCTAGGCAAAATATAATGGAAATGCTTCCTGTCAGTGCCCACAGAGAATCAAAGACTCCAGCTCCATCTTTTAACATAAATTTCAAGGGATTTATCAGTGATACATCACCGCTTTCAGCAGTCGGATTAGGGTGTGGAACAGGTGATGAGCTAAGCTCAGTTTTCGGCAGATTACTTTTACGTAACTAATGGAAACGTTTAACAGAAACCTTTGTATCCTTTGTGAGACCTGCTTATAGCGTTCCCTCCCTGCCCCACCCGGGGCAAGCTGTTGGCTTTCCTTCTACCTCCCAGTAAGCTTTTGGTACCCATTATTTCTGTTTCCCAGGCTTGTCTCTGGGCTGATGGCCACAGAGGCTGTTCATTCAACTGTCCTACCACTGCAGTCAAAAGTTTGCTTGACCTGGGCTCAGGGCACCAGCGGAGACACCGTCATGTCTCCTGGGAACCTTATTTTGAAAACTGTACAGAAAGTTAAGCCTCTTTCAGCAGCAGGGCTGAATCTAAAGTGGAATGTTTGGGTGAAGTACAGAAGGAAGGTCGAGGTAGTGTTTTAAGAACTGCAGCAGGTGTTTCACCTGGATTAGTGTGTCAGAAACAAGCACCTTTCACTGTACTCAAACTCAGATTAATTTTTATTACCTGGAACTGAATGCAAAAATGAAACTGATCTCCCCAAGCTTTGACTATCACATTTTCACGAGTCTTGGTGTGGTATGAATATCTCTTTAATGTTACTCAAACACAGATACTAAAACCTGCTATTACTTATTGACTCTTTTAAACAAATATCTTTGAAACAAAACATTCCAATCACCTAAAGATGACAGGTTTTCCTGATTATTTTGCACAGTATGTCCTTTAACTATAAGCTCCAGATTTGAAAAGTAAAGCCGGTCTTAAATTTGCACAGCAGGATGGAGAAAAAGTGTTTAGCTAACGTCTCAGCTGCTGTTAGTGTTGGAATTCAGCAGCAATTTGCAGTACGTGAAAAATCTGTGCTGTGGTATCTGAACGGTAATACCCCAGCAAATTGCAAGACAGTTCACTCTCTATTCACTTAATGAATCTGCACAATCCTGGGGAGAGCCATGTTACCACCAGATCCGGGATAGAGTTGTGCAGTCTCATTGCATGAGACCTGCACACCCACTGTCCTTACACTCCAAGCAATATTTAAACCCCTGGTACCTGTTGCCTCCCAGCCAAAGCAGCGTGCCTGTGCGGACGGGTGGAAGGTCTTGGATGCCTGCTCTGCCCGCGCTGCGAGCCAGCCAAGGCTGGGAGCGACGCAGGCGTGTCTGTACGCTGCTAAGCCTGAGCTATTAAGCCCCACTGAGCTATATCAGTCTCTACTTTGTTGTTAAACTAAAAGTTATTTTGGCCTTCCAGTTGGAGCTGGCTTATGTCTGGTCAGCTTGGAGGGTGGTTAGAGCAGATGTGTGGCGGTGGGTAGATGCGAATGTGTCTGCCCATCAACAGGTCAGCATTTGGAAGAGGCGTGCACTCATTTACTGCATAGCGAGGAACAAGGTTTATTTTAGAAGGGCCAAGCCAGCTTTCAGGTCTGGAAGCAGAACTGAGAAGTTGGACACTTCTCTGCTGTGGAGAGCCTTTTTTGTTTTTCTGGCAGATCACACAAGATCCACTTCCACATTTCAGTGCTTACTTCCCCCTTTATTTTCAGAATTGAGCATAAAGGAGTCGCTTGTTCACTTGTGTTACTTGCTGTTTTGATCTCAGGTTTTAGTGCCTGGCTAGGCATATATAAAAAAAAAAGAAATCCCTGTTTTGATTACATAACTTCTTAAAAATCTATCTCATTTTGGAATTTCCAGCTTGCTGAAGTAGCATAAGTTTGTAGAGAGGCTTTAATTATCTCAAATTACTGCTGCAGTAATCTCTTTATTTGCTGATAAGAAATCGCATAATGTGCATCTGGCTCAGTTGCGTGCTGATTACCTCTGTGCGTACACTAAAGATCTTGGCTTGATTTTTCAAACGCTAGTTCTCCTTTTGGGGTTGGTAGAGAGGAGAAAAAGTCAGGGTCTAGGGAATCTGGTGATATTTGCCAACGTTTAGAGGAAAAAGTGATCCTCTCAAGTATCAGCAATCATACATTGTCCTGGTGTCTCTGGTAGGAGGTGTTTTGGGTTTTTTTTTCACAGCCACAATGGTTTGAATCATTCTAAAGATACTTTTGAGCCAAATTTGATTGGCTTTCTGCCCTGTTGTAACCTACACTCCCATGTGGTGGACAAGCGGGTGTCCATCACGACTGGCAAAATAGGAAAACTGAGCACTTCAGCCCCGGGTGTCGGGGGCTCATCGGTGCTGCTGCGGCACAGCTGCCACCACCGCGGTCTGCAACGCTGGCCTTGGCTTGGTTTAAGGTGTTAAACATGGTGGAGAAAGGTGAGGAAAAGGAAACATTACATTTTCCCTTCTGTAGCCCTTTCAGGGGGATGTTTAAGGAGTATTTTGGCTTTTGGTTTGAAATCCCATACATTTTATTTCCCTTATCGTGCTCTTATGCACTGTGTGGAGTCACTGTTCTTGCTGGCGAGTAGCCGGTAGCCCTGCAGGGTCCAACTCCGAGTCTGTTGAAGTGCGTGAGAGTCTCCAGAAACCTCTTTGGTGGTGGAAGTTTGTCCAGAGGGCAGGAAGGTGGCAATCCGTTGTGTCACCACTCATTCCTGACGGTGACTTGGAGCATGGTGCCAGCTGTATGGTGTCGCTGTGTAATTTCCAAGCTGTCCGATTCACAGAAAGGCCTTGTTTGAGGTTCGTAGGCTCCCAGGTCCTACGGTTGTGTTTCCTAGTGATGCTCTGTAAACTTTATAGGGGAATTTCTAAAGTCTAAAAGGAATAGCAAGTTTTTAATTAAAGATTGTTCATCCTGAAAGAGAGGATGAAACAGAGGAAAGTACGTTTTTAAAGAATAGTTTCTGTTGAGTAACTGGGGACGCTCAGCAGAGAAGTCTGAGGTCAATTCAGTCTCCATGTTGCCACTGTAGTTCTTCTGTGATTGAAGGGCCTTAATTATTTTACGTTTTGATACACTGTGTAATGTACATTACCACAGTGGAGCTGATAGATTGTCAAAAGCCCTGTTGGTCTGTTGCTTCTTGTTGCAGAGTGTTTCCCCACTGGGGGATGTGGCCCTCCTTGCAGGAGGGCACTGGCCAGGCTGGTTGGCTGTGGTCAATTTGGTGCTGTGCTTTTTCTCATGAGGGCACTTCTCAGAACACCCTGTTCATCACCAGGGCTCTTGTCTGTCTGTCCCAGACAGGACCGTCTTTGTAGCATTAACCCGCATGGACATCTGTATGCGCTCTGTTTGTGCTCTCTCTTTCTTCCCCGCGTGTGGGATTTTCCAGGACAGCTTCTGGAAAGCTGAGTGTTTTGTCCTGTTTTTGGTTGACAGAGCATACATTATTTTTGAGCACAAGCTCACACCAAGAATGTTAAGTAGAACATTGAAAATAAAATCAGCTGTGCTGGACACTTGGACTGCATTTGCCATCCTTTGCGTACCCAGTGCAGTACTTTATTCCTCTTGTTGTGTGTGTGTTAACGCATGGAAGTTCAGCTTTAAATAGAGCCTTACATAAAAATATGAGAACAAGAATATTTTCCTGCCTTGGAAGGATGATGACGGCAACATTCCAGTGGCAGTTACTGCATTCAGAGAGCAATGACAGTTGTTTCCAAGCTCAACAGACATGGACATGAAGCTGATACTGGAATAATGACTGTGTACTTCAGGCTGCTTTAAAAAAAAAAAAAAAAAAAGATGGATCCCATATAGTTTCCTTTGCATAATATGCTGGGAAGCCAATACTGTCAGGAAGCACTGCCAGTTTTCCAGCCTGCCTGTAAGAGGGCATGTGTTTGTATCTGTGAGCAGTAGATCTATTTGTCAGCCTCAGACATCCATAAAATGTTCTCTCCATCTTTCTGGCATGAATGATTGCTGTTTTGTCTGCTGGCAGACTTGTAGTTCAGGATTATCATGCCCTTATCTCTTTATCCAGAGCCTTATCTGCCTATAACAGATACACTACAGTAGTTCCTTGAGTGATTAAGACCTCCATTGCTAACATGTTAAAAGATGGCTTCAGGGGAAGCAGGCCTTTTAATAAAGGTGTTCGCTATTTAATTTGTTGTTTGGCATCTTACAGAAAACTTGCTTTTTGAAACAAATACATACTTGTTTATAAAAAATAAAGCAATTATTTCATTTTTTTCCAGGCTGGGTGAAGTACTCCACTGTGTAAGACTTTACATACATAAATACAAGTACAGAAAAGTCAGTTTGCCATTATCTAGGGTGTTGTGGGGACTGGAACACATTTCTGACAATAGAGGAAAGAGGAAACACGGCAAAAAGACACGTGTGTGGGTTTGTGCAGAATCCCCATAGGGCCAGGGTTTATGAACTTAACTCAGATATGGCTAAACTACTGCTGGGTGCAGACTGCTCCTTAGAAGCAATGCTGCATCATTTGTACGGCTTTGTACCGGACTTAAACCTAGCTCAGCTCTGTCTGTGTCCGTGCCATCATTAACCCATAACCTGGGTAACCAAGAGTTTACTACAGTAGCATTCCTTTCTGTCCAAGGATGTTTGAGTGCAGCATTCAGCAAATAATGATTATTTTCTTTTTCTTCTCTCCTCTCCATCCATCAGGAGCTTGTCAGACTCACGATTGAAAAGCAGGAGCATCCCTCTCCCACAAGCCCAGTTAAACCCAGTTTACCAGCATGCAAATCTGACAGGTGGGTCACTGACAAGGAGGTGTGCAGAACTAATATAGAAGGGATAATTTCTGGCTACTGATAGTTGAATTAAAGCATTCAGTTATTCTTCACAGAGGGTAGCATAGTGTTCTGTATGTAGCCTCATCCATTACAGTGGGACCACTTAAAGAGAACAATATGCTATGATAGGGAAGATAACAAAATCTGGCAATGAAACATCACTTGGCTGTGACACATGCACATTGTATTCTGCATTTACATGAAATTTCACCTGCACATGCAAACTCTGCCTTCTGCTATAGGTGCCTCTCATATTGCATATCATTTAAAATAGTATTAATGTGTCGGCCTGCTGCATTCCAACTATGTTTTATGATCGACAATCTGTATTTTGCTTGTTGCAGCCCATCAGAACTTCCCCTCACAGACCGAGAAATGGAGATCCTCAACAAAACAACTAATATGACTCAATCCAATGAGCTACTGACTGACTCCATGGATGAAGAAGTTGCACCTCCTAAACCCCCTCTGCCTAGCATTCGTGTGGCAGAAAACAGGTAATATTGGCCAACCTGCTGAGTAGAGAATACCAGTGGATCTTACCAGCTTCTTGGCTTTTTTAAACAGTCTTGCAAAATGTGCACAAGAGAGGTCTTGAGGAGGCTTAGTCATGCCTCTGAATTTCCAGTCCTCCAGAGTAATTCTGCCCTGCTCCTGGACTGTGTTTATGACTTTGTGTTCTCTCTGTCTTGTTTTGAGCAATACCCTTCATTATCTGTGTTTTCCTTTCCCGATTTTGATGTGATGGTAGTGCCATGCCGTGAGATCCATGCATGAGAGGCATCACGTAAATGCATAAAAACCTTATTTAAAACTATGTGAATACCACACTGTACAACAGTGTCTTGTGCTGTTGTATCCAATGGGAAATGTTCCGCTAACCTCAGCTGGCAATTGTCGATCTGTCCTGCACATCCAGGTTGTTCTGCATTGCTTATCAGGTTAAGAGTGAAAGGAGCCAACAGTGCGTGAAAAAATATCTTTTACTTGGTTGTTTTTACCCTGTTCTATGAGTAACCACATGAAAGTTTCTACGTTCTATTTTGAGAAGGAGGAGAAAACCCCCTATTTGCAGGTTTTTGGTCTGTGTGTGTAATGTTTTTCTTCTCTAATGTTGGTACTAATGGATGGTGTGAAAAATAAATGTCGTGCTAATTTTAAAATGCGGCATCAAAAGGGATGTGGCTGGCAAAAAGAATCACATTTCTATGTATTTTATGAGTTCTCATGGGTTATATAAAAATTTCCTGGTATGTTCCAGGAACAGAAGATATGTGCTCTTGGGAACTTCACAGGCTTGATGATTACCAGAATTGTGTGTCATTAGAAACAAAAACTAAAACTGCAGTGGTTAAAATCTCGCTACTTACTGCTAATGTTTGTATCTGAAACAGATTTATGCCAAAACATGGTGAGAGCAACACTGACCATCTTGTTCCCTGAAGTTCACCAGGAGAATAAAAGGGCAGAAAAAGAATTTTTCTGTCATAGAAGTTTTTGAAACTTTGAACATTTTTCAAACTTGGAAGGTTTGAGGATGAGGGACTTCTGTGAATGGTAACAGTGGATTTGGTGGATTGGTGGAATGGTGGATTTTCACCACTTTTATTAAGAAATAATTACCGTGCTAATTAGCTCCATTAAAAATAATTTTTAAAAAAGCAATTGTTTTTGTTTGAGAAATACCAACTCTGTTCCGGCCTTAAAAAATAAATCACTGAACAGGACCTTACCTGTGAGAGTATTTGATATTTGTTAGTGGATACACTTTGCTGAATAGCTCCTGGCCAGCTTTGGATAAGAACTTGTGAGCTTTGATCCTGGCAAGTCAAAGGCTTTCTGGGAAAACAAACTCATGAAGCCTTTAAAAGCCTTTTTGCTGGAGGAGTAATGGAAGCATCAATGCCCGTTCTGTCTTGCAGCCCTCCACCAGCATTGCCCCCTAAAAAACGGCAGTCGGCACCTTCCCCAACCAGAGTGGCAGTCGTGGCCCCCATGAGTCGTGCCACCAGTGGATCCAGTTTACCTGTTGGAATCAACAGACAGGTAATGGCATAACCCCTTTGTGAAAGCCAAGCATGCCGTGAACTGTAGCAAAAGCTCAGAGAGTTCCCTGCACGCCTCTGCTTGTCCCAAACAGCCCTGTACGGCAGAGCTCTCGAGTGGGAGTTTTAGTGGCAGGAACATCAGTATAATAAATAGTGTGAACAGCTTAATTTTTTTTATAGTGGTGTTGGATTTAATTAACAAATTGCTACAAACTTTGTTGCCTTGAGCTGTAGCAGAGTGTGAGCGGTTGAGTGTTGCTGTGTCAAATAGATTAGGGTAGAGAGTGGCTGGCTGAGCTTACCAAGATCTCACCAAGGTTTACTTACAGGCCAGGGAGCATCTGGCATAGTGAGATCAGAAGTCTGTATTCATCCAGTCACAACTTAAAACATCTTTTAACCCAAGGAGTAGTTTGAGCAACTGCCTTGAACACTGCTGATGCTTTGGGGGAACTTGTAAATTTTCTGGTAGAAAAATTGAAAACTTGGGGCTGTGTGTGTTAGGCATATTCCATCGCTTGTGCTAGTCTGGGGTTTATGAGGTTGTAGACGGCTGGGTTTGCTTTACGCATTCAGGAACCTACTAACTCAGCAGTGAGGACCTGAATCATATTAAATTGCACCAAAATCAAATCTTGTCTTCATCCCCAAAGCCTCAGCTCTGGCTTAGGGAGTCTCTGCTGTCAGCTGGCTGACCCAGATAAAGCTGTGGCAGTTCTTCAGTTACTCACACAATCACACTTAAGTTGTTTTGCAGGAATGGGAATACTTGAGGGGTTCACTCACAGATTGATAAGCTTGAGGTAATTTCCAAAATAGAAATGTAGTCATAGGCACAGAAAGTTGTATTTCACTATAGCTTATTTTCCCTTTGCATTCACCCAAGCTAATCAAATATTTGCTCAAGCCTCAGTTATTTAATGACAAATCTTGCAGTCTGGTTGCCTAGTATCAATGTCCTGACAAGCAGTCATTAGACATGTGTAGCGGTGAGAAGCTCAGTCATCTTCTCATCTTCTGTGAAGTCCACTGGGGGTCACAGCACGCCCTGCCTGGAAGCAAGAACACGCAGAGCTCCCTGGCGTGGGCTCTTTACTGAATCAGAGGTTTTCTGTGGTCCTGATGAGCTTGTCTAACTAGAGAGGGCTAGCAGCACCGATCCTCTTCCCTCCTGGTTTTCTTAATACAGCTGTGAGGTGTTTGCTCCTCAAGCTGCATCTTGCTTGCTAGCGAGCTGCCAAGAATGATGGTGATTTTTAAAAATTTTTTTTTTTGCTTAAGGATTTTGATGCTGACTGCTATGCCCAGAGAAGGTTATCGGGTGGAAGCCACTCCTATGGGGGGGAATCTCCTCGCCTCTCACCGTGCAGTAGCATCGGCAAACTCAGCAAGTCTGACGAGCAGCTCTCTTCTCTGGACCGCGACAGTGGTCAGTGCTCCCGCAACACAAGCTGTGAAACGTTAGGTAAGTGGGCGGCTGTCCAGGGCCTCTGGAGTAGCCCCCATCACTCTCGTCTGGGAGCTGTCATAGCTGTGATGCAGAAGTAAATGGATTGTGCTTGCAACTGTCATCTTGTAGTTGCTGCAAGTGGTTCTATGCAGAATTATATTCTATCAGATAGGAAAAAGCCCAGGGGAATGTGTTTCCCTAGCTATAGTTGATTGTATTCAAACTCAATTCAGCTCTCAGGTGGAATGTTTTGTTGATTTCAGCCTTGTCTGCAGACATCAGTAGGAAATGACAGTCCTGATAGACTAAAGCAATGTTGTTTCTACATACTAGGAAAGAAAATAAAAATATGAAACGCAATCTCTGCCATGATCTACCTATTGAATTTTTGTAATTTGTTTGCTAATGTAAAGAAACGTTGATAAGAGTTTTATTCAGGCTGGATGTTACGGAAGGTGTAGCAAGATGGTCCCTGCTGCAAGGAAGTACCACTCTGATTAAATGAACTGGTTAATTAACTGATGGAATGGGAGGGTCAAAATTGAGAAGGGCTGAACAGTAAAAGAGAAAAACTAATGCATCATTCTCCTGTCCCCTCTGTTTAACCAGATCAATCAGATCACTATGATCCGGACTATGAATTCCTGCAGCAGGACCTCTCAAATGCTGATCAGATACCCCAGCAGGTGCCAGGTATCCTCAGCCCACTGCCAGAGTCCTTGGGTGAGTCTGGCTCCCCTTTCCATGGACATGCTTTCCAGCTCCCGCAGGGCAGCTCTCCTCCACTGGAATTCTGCAGCCTCTCGGGAGCAGCGCAGCCAACAGAGACTCCTCCAGCTTTACCAGAAAAGAAGAGGAGGAGCGCAGCCTCTCAGACTTCAGATAACACAGGCTGCAGGGTCTCCTATGAGAGACACCCTTCCCAATACGATAACATCTCGGAGGATGACATGCAGAATGCAGCGTCTGTCCCTTCAGTACCCTTCACGCCATTTGCTGCTGTTTCGCCTTTCCAGCAAGTAAACTCTTCAGCACCGGTTGAATTCATTGCTGACTTTGCTGCTCCAGATTCTAACAGTGACCCAGAGAAGCCACCACCTCTGCCAGAGAAGAAAAACAAACACAGTAAGCAAGTTCTTGTGTTTGGGTTTTACATTTACCTTTACCTTTCCTTGCAGTTGTTGTACTTCTGATGACCACTAAGTAATGGTGACCCCAGGGTAATGCCCTTGCTTACCTGAGGCTGAGGGTCAAAACGAGTCAATCAGTGTCAAAGGCATGGAAGGAGAGTATCAGTCCTTTGGTGGGCAGAAAGTAACTCTTGGAATCAGGCACAATCCAGGCCCAGGGGCGCTGGCATTTTCATTACTATAGTGAGACCATTTCACTTCTGTTTACCTGAGTGCGAATCTTTGAGGCACTCTGCCTTCCAGATCTTCCTGGTTTATCCTCCCTTTTTATGTCCATTCCTTCCCTCCTGCCCCCATTTCATGAACATTTTCCCGCTGCAGAAAAGAATTGGGTACTCTCCAGGAGCTCAGTGAAAGGGCTGGTTTTCTGTCCAAAACCGAGCATTGCCAGAGCAGTTATTTGGCAATAGGAACATAGTCACCCACATAGCTGTGCAAGACAACGCTATTAATCTAGTGTCCAGTGCTGCTGTTTTGCTACGGAATCTCATTTCCTTTGGATGTCTAAGAATTTCCCACATCATTAAAATGAGCAGCCTCTAAACACAAAGGCTTGCCATCCCCAGCCAGGCTCCTGGCACACCAGTACTGACTGCGACTCAAGCTAACAACCTTATTGTGATTTCCTTAATGTTCATGGCTGAAAACAGGTGAAACCTCTTGACAAAAAAGGAGCCATACTGATCTGTCAAGGAAGGCTGTGGACTACATCATGAGATCCAGCAGATGTTAGCTTACTAGTTACTGGCTTGCTTTGCAGTGGTACGTTGCATGAGGAGGTAGCATGTACAAGATCTGGATCAACAGCGTTATGTTGTATGGTTGGCAGCCCAAGTGAAGAGCCGATTCGAAAGTGCTGAGTGTGCCTTCTGACTCATTTCTGCAGTTCATAGTCTTTTCACTGAGAATAAGGTGGAAGTGAGATTGGTGTGTCTTCAGCACGGTCAGTATTCTGTCCGTTCCCATGGTAGTGTACTGTGCCAGTCACTTTTTAAAAAGTGCATTGGCTAAAAGCATTTCCATTATCCCTAAGTGACCAGTCCACATTTGTAACCCTCTGGGTTTTTAATCAGACCACAAGGCTTGACCCACCTGAAATTGGGTCGTAGTTTAGTGTCCCCATGCTCATGAAATCACTTTTGTGCCTCTCTGGCAAACAATCAGTTAAATGATACTGAAAGCAGCTGAAAAGGAGCTGAGATGTTTGTAGACAACAGAAAGGAAATAAAAGCTGGCACAGGGCATAGCCCTCGTGCTGTTCAAAATACTCGCCTGCAGTACCAGCTGCAAGGGGATGTGATACAGAGGCTCCTTACTGGAGATCAGGTCCCTGTGGGCTCTGCATTTGAATAACGAGGGCTGGGTCCAGGTGATTTTACACCATGCAGGCTGGGGTGGACACAGGGAAATGTGCCTCTGGACACGTAGGCAGCTTTAGTAGGGGGAGACGCCTGGGTGGATCTTGGGTAAGAGGCAGTTTGGCAGTTGAAGGAGAGACCTGGGTTGTTTGCTTTCCTCTTTAAGCCTCATGTCTTTGTTTTCTGTTATCATATGCGATGTCGAGTTACTTAAAAACAGTTTTAAAAGCTATCTTCTCTGTTACTGCCCATGCACACTTTTAACCTCAGTACCAAGGCCTTGAATGTGAATTTTCTTTGATGTTAGGATAGAGTTAATTGTCATCTGTCATCTGGCACTATCAGAAGCTCTTGGGGTATTGACCAGATTGCATTGTTAGGAAAGGTAGAAGCTGGTATCTAATGTACTGTCAGCTCTGATGGTTTGATAAAGCATCCTTGCTGCAAAGCTTCTAGTAGTATTTGGGCTGATACCCGACTGCTGCGGATTTTTTAATTGCATTCATGTGACACTGAGAACTTGTTTTCGATTGTCTTTACTCCACAGTACATCACACCACAGATCTGTGGTTGTTAGTTTTACTTTTATTTTCAACATTAAAAGGGCAGTAAAATATTACTCAGGCTATTTGGTAGCACCCAGGATTTTTTTGCCTGGAGGGTGATGCATGTAGATGTTCTTGTGTAATCACATAGGTGAGGCAGTGCTGTTTCCACAACTCCAACAAATTCCTGGGATCCAGAGGAGATGCATGAATTTATTAAAAAGATCTAGAGCTCTCACAGATGGGACTTGATTGTAGTCCCTTTGTTGTGGGTCATCTTTTGGTAGTTGGCAGGAAATGTTGCAGCAGAGACTTTGACGGCCTTTTTATTAATAATAGACAGCAAATCCTGCTTGAGTTAACCATGTGTACTGCTGTGAGCTGTGCTCAGAGGGACCTCCAAGAGTTGACTTCTGTATAATTTAAACAGAGGAGTGATAAGCCTTTTAGTCTGGCATGAATTGTTATTTTACTGTGCTGTAGGAGTACATGTTACTGTGCTAAGGGCAAATTACTCCAGACTTCTGCTTGAGCACCAGCATCATGCGGCTGCCATACAAGACACAGGCACGGAGCAGCTTCTGCCATGAAGAGCCCAGAGTCAGAAATAACAAGAGCCTTCCCCCAAACAGCTTGCAAACTAGAAGTGAGGCACTTATTCATGTTTCCCTCCCTGTCAGTGGGAACAAAATGCAGCCTGGTGCCCTGTAAGCAGCTGGTATTTAACTGCAGGAACCACGCTGAGAGCAGTCTGAGCTTAGCCAGCGGATAATGCGAGCTCTTTGAAAAACAGCTCTCCTCCCAGAGGTGACAGCAAAGACTGGCTTATTTGACCTTGACTTCTCCAGTGAGTTGATGTGCAGTATAGCTTAAGAATTGCCATTATTTTGGCTCTTGCCCATGCACACAAATCTGTTGCGCTTGTTTGGAGCCAGCAGTAACACAGGCTGCTGACACAGTGCCAGGAGCTGGGCTAGACCTTCAGTGAGTCCTCATCAGATACTGCTGTGCCTTACCTATATTGCAGACGTGCCTTATTGCTGATAGTCTTCCAGCAGTTCCTTGCAGACTCCAACAACCACTGGTCCGAGGGTGTTTTCCTGACGAGGTTACTTGCCGCTTTCTCTCTTCTCCTGCAGCCAAGCGCCGCTTCCAGGACTGGTGGCTGCTCTCTCTGGCCGCATGGTGAGCTGGCTCAGATGCTGCTGGTGCACTCTGAGCAATACCTGTGACTTCCACCATGTGGGCAGAGCTGGTGTGTGCTAGAAATCTCTGAGCAGCTTTAACTCCTTCAGAAATGACAGCCAAGGCACTGCAAGCAGATTGCTGGGAAGGTGTTCCTCAGTGTGAGATTTTATAGGGTTTTTTTTATTTCAAGTATGTTCTGTCTGAGTTAAGAACTGACATAGGCTGGGCATGGTGCCGTGATGGGAGAGGTTTCTCTCTCACGCCTCCCTTCTCTCCTGGGGTGCTGCCTTGAGACTGTCACTCTGCCGCGGCTGCTCACCATGGAGGTTGCAGCCCCCATCCCTCCCTGTGCACAGAGTCACTGCAGGGCGTGCAGCCTGATCTGAGCTGGTGATGTAATTTCCCATCTGCTTTTTAAATTTTTGCCTTGTTAAAAACCACGGCAGAGAGGGAAGGGGATAGAGGGAGAAGGGGGAAAAGATCCTTTGCAAACAGCAGTCTTAGGAGTGGTCCTGCTCCCTTAGTCCCCTGTTCGAGATTGGCAACATTTTAATGATGCCCATTTTAATTTGCGCTCTGCAATATCTACTCCTGAGCCAGGTTTGTATTTCACCATCCCAACTGTTTTTCTTTTCACCTAAAAACAGAGAAGATGACAAAGTAGAAGATGAGACATACTCACCCGCCCTGGACTAGTTGTAACAAGCAAGGCAGGGGAGCTGCCATGGCGATAGGATGCATTAGCCTCATAAAGAGCTGAGATAAAAGAGCTCTTCATTATTCCCTTGCAGATTGAGTTAAGGCTCTCAACAGCATTCAGGCTTACTACCTTGCGTTACAGTAATACAGTAATTTAATTTTATGCAAGTATCTAATGTGATACCCTTTTCACCAACGCTTCCCAAATTGTAGTGTCATACAGACATCTGAGCCCAGGAACTCACAGCTATCGATCCTGAGTGTTGTCTTCAGATCTGGACGTTCAGTGAAGCACTGTGTTTGTAGGTAACTCCACATGAAGGGTTGGTCTGAATTTAGCAATGTCTGCTGCATTATGCTGGGACTGCCAAGCTTGACTTCTTGGCTTTTGTCCTACTCAGCTGATGAGCTCTCAAAATGTGGTCTTTTCCCTCAAGCCCTTGTCCTCCACACTTCTCCAAGGAGTCTTGATCCTTAGTTCACTTTTGCTCTCAAAGAAATGTCTTTAATAAGCGTCCTTTAGACCTTATCCTCTAAAGTGATTGCATGATACCAAGGCATTTTTCAGGGCACGGGTAATAACAGGAGTACTTTAGTTAACTGAATCGCTGATATTTGAAAACAGTATTTTAGCAATTCTGTATTTTCTACACCAAGACTCCTTCGCTATGATTTCAAATAGGAGAATATTGCCAGAACATGCTTCTTTTCACTGTTAGGACTTAGGCTGAAATTCACGTGCGTGAGCAAATTTGATCTTGGCTTTAACGTGAGTGCCGACACCAGCAGATGAGCGGGCACAAACACACACCAACACGCATGTGCGTGCAGTTTGAAACCTCTGTCACACTCCCTTCAAAAAGGAGAGGACTGAACCAGCAAGACTGGTGACTCACATCTGTGAAGCAGTGCTGGGAAGGCAGGAGGGTGGCTGGGGGAGGAAGAGGAGCAAGGCTCGGGTAGCGAAGGGTATTGGAGGTCAGAATTTCAGCAGCCTTGGCAGAGCTGTGCAGGAGCTGGCAGTACGGCGGGACACGAACAGGTTGTCCGCTGATGGCACCGCGTGGGGTCACAGGATGGGGACAGCAGGTGTTACCGGTCGGGATTGACATCCATCAGCTGCGGTTTCCTGTGCTCCCAATTGCTACCACTTTTTTTTTTTTTTCCCCTCTTTATTCTATTTTTTGGAGGAGGGATATCATTCTGTGGGAAGGGGCAGCTGTGTTAGCTCCATTTCTAAAGGGAGTTTAAAATATTAGAGGAAACCTGAAAAAAGGTGCAAAAGACAGGTGCAAAGTGACTCCTTCCTGCCGACACGTTTGCACGGCTGCATCCTGTTTGAAAGAGGCTGGCCCGCAGATCTGCACTGGCAGGTGAACAGAGGGCTTTGCCTTGCCGCTAGTGTGGGAACCGGCCTCACGATGTGCAAATACTGCATTGTGGTCGTTATATTTATAGCTTTCACTGAAGTCATCCATTCGTTTCAGCTGTACAACTGAAATGCCAGCAGAAGCTGAATAATTGCCACCTAATGACCAGATTTACAAAAACTAACAACTGCTTGTTTATCAGGAGGAAGGGAGGAATGATCATAAAGTATCTTGTGTATGACAGCGTATTTACAAAAAGGCCTTAGTTAGTCCTTTTTATGACACTTAAATACATCTGTTGTACCTGTTCTCAGGTATATAGAAGAGAGTTCTTTCTTTATTTTGCATTTATTAAGTACACTTCTGATCGTTAATAATTTGGGGGGGTTGTAGTAGTCTTTCTATGACACTGAGTGTCATTCTCCCCCTCCAACACTAAAATATTGCAGCAGTAACTAATTCTCTCTCAGGGCCACATAGGCAGACTTGGGTGAGGTTTTTCATAGATTTTGGAAGGATATTGTAGAGATGGAAAAGTCTGTAGATGAGATTTGATCCCATTTAATATTTCCATTGAACCACATCTCAGAATAGCTTTTGAATCAGTTGGATTCAAGAATTGGAGATGGTAAGATGCTTTAAAAAGGAATGAGAACAGAGTGTTGGATTTGAGCTAAGGACGTAGGAAGGCATGGTCCGTGGCACTTTTATAAGGTAAGTATCTTGTACCAGCATTGGCAGTGGCATATAAATAGCTGAGGGAGAGGTGCATGCAGACTCTCAGGTAGGTGTTCTCCAATAACAGTTTTATCAGCTTGCTGGAATGGAGAAAGGCGGTAAGCCTCCTCATTCTAGGAATCTTGCTGACTACAGATCCAAGACTCACTGTAGGCACAAGAATTACTATAGATTTATTGTCAAGATTGCATCTTTGTGCAAGATGATTTGTGCCTCCTAGAAAGCAGACTGAAGTTATTCTGGGTTTTTTGGTGCCTTTGGACACTAACTGTTGGGGAATATTCTCAAAATTTCCATGGGTTACATGAGGAAGGGATTTGGGCTAAGCATCGGTGAATCAGACTTCTCAAGTAGCTGTTTGGAGACCTCACTGGTTCCTTAAACTGTTGTCAGATGTGTTTGTGGCCTGTGATTATGTTTGTTGTGCTCCGGCTTGCAGGATGGGATACTCAGATCCTTCCCTGCAAGGTGGATGGCAGCTGACTCTGTGAGCTACCTGTGAGCACAGCGTGGATGCCTTGCTGCTCCTAGCCTGCAGCGAAGCCCGACTGACAGTGGCATTGCCTTACTCTTACCTTATTTTAAGAATGACCACCCTGCCTGCTTGTTGCAGCTGCAGCGTGCGGACCAGGAGCAGGGAGTGTGACCTTTCTTTGCATTGCAGTGATGGCATACATGCAGTTTGTGGAAGACTACTCAGAGCCGCAGCCGTCCATGTTCTACCAGACCCCTCAGAACGAGCACATTTACCAGCAGAAGAACAAGCACCTCATGGAAGTCTATGGGTTCAATGACTCCTTTATCAGCTTAGACCCCTCTCAAGATCTGGCACCTCCTCCTGCTCTCCCACCGAAACAGCGGCAGCTGGTGAGTGACATCTGCGGTGCCCTCCCCGGCAGGGCACACCAGCCTCCCAGGAACAGCCTCCTCTGTTCTTGTTACTGCTGTTTCTGACAGGCTGCGGTGGTGGGAGGATGTCTCGTTGGTGTTACCGCGTCATGCTCCTTGTCAGCTTGTTAACATGTTTTTAGGCATTTTGCATCATCTATTTTGAGCTCCTTTCTAACCCCATGTCCAGACTGTTCCCCATAAGCTCTAAAAGTCCTAAGATGCCCTAAAAATTAAGCATTAATCTTCCACATGGCATGGCTGAATCTGTGCCAGACTACAGGCTTGTGCAATGACAACTGCTTTGAAGATTTTGACACATTGGGCAACACGATTTTCAAGAGATTGCTGCACTGTTGTTCCCAATGCTGTTTTGAAACTGTTGTCAAGGATGCCACTAATAATAACCATTTAAACATAATAACTGCTTTTATGGCTCAATCTTTGCCAGAGCCACAGAACTTTGGTATAGCTGTTACTTAACTTGTACATGTTTCCTCTACATTAGTCCCCTTGTGTGATTCAGGGTGTTACCTGTTTTTCAGTGTTCTATTGGCCTTCCCAGACTCCCAGCACAAAAAGGCACATGCACACGTGTATGTGTGGTGGGTTTAACAGTACAGCGAGTGCCATTTTCCACGCAGGAGATGAAATTCTGGCCTCAGTGATAGCAGTGGCAGTTTTGTTTCCAGCCTCAGTGGATCTGGGATTTTGTCCTAGTTCTTTTTAAGGGTCTTCCTTTCTTTTCTCTTTTTTTATTTTTAACTCCAACCTTAGGGGTTTTGTTTATATTAATTATCAGATTTGCTCTTTAAAAAAAAAAAAAACAAACTAATCATGTTTTCTGCTGATGTAGCTAAATTGGCCATGGCTTTAACGAAACAGGAGGAAAGGTGGGAACAGAGCCATGGTCTTACCATCATGAGGGCAACTGTTGCAATATTTCTTCATGTTATCTCTGCTAAAGTTTGCCTGTCCCAGGGGGTTAGCTTTTAAATCAAATGGGAAAAGCAACCAAGAACTCTAATTTTGGGATTTGCGTAACTACATTCCTGTATGCAGGTAGGAGTCCTAAAAAGATAAAGTAACATTTCTGGCTAAGCTAAACTGAGTATTATGCATTATTGCTTTGTGGGGATGAGATCTTAAATGCTCATGTCCCATCTGTTTTGCAGGGACACTGAAGAGTCTACATGACTCCTCTCTGAAGGATCAGGCAGTTCTCCAGAGTCTGTGGTCCCCTTGTCGGTGTGATGCTTGCCACTGTCATTTGTACCTTGTAATGCCTTGCCCTACCTCCTCCTCCTCCTCTTAGAGGTGGCTGCACTCTGGTGATAGTTTCCAGTGGTGACTTAGTCTACATGGTCATGAGAGAGGGTGTGTAAGGCACAGATTTACTGTAGCCATTGTGCAGAAAGGAAATTCTGCTCCTTTTCTGAATTTGTCAGCTGAAGCAAAGCATTTCTTTGCTGCCCTTTAATCATTACCTGGGTAGCCAAGTTGTCACTGGTTTGCCTGCTGGGCATTCTTGTAGTCTCGCAAGCTGATACCATCAAGGTGTTGCTTGCAGTTCCCCTGCAGCAAAGGTTTCTTCAAGGGCAGCCTCCCACCCTTACCTTTATCTCTCTGTTGGGAAAGTGATGCAAGCAGACGACGGCTTATTCAACAATCACTGTAAACGCCACCAGACTCTTGTTCCTCTGCTCCTGCTGCCATGAGAGTTTCTGAAACAGCAAACCACATGGGCATCAGCTGCTCTAGCAGTAGGCACATTTTGCTGGATGGACTCCTCTGTAAAATAATTATTAGGACGTCCTTTCTTGTGAGCTTCGAATCTTATTTAGGAAACAGTTGTACATTATATTCAACAAGTCAGAGCTGAGAAAACCTAAATATACCTGAGCTTCCCTCACACTCCTTACTATAGTGGAATTCAGGAGAAATTCCTTAATAGTACTTGTTACTTACAGGGTAATATCTCCCTCTTGTGCAAATGATCTATCATTTTGGACTGGACTGAAAAATGGCTGGACATCACTGTTACTGAGTATCTTAGCAGTACCAGTGAGGGCCCATAGATCACACTGGAAAGACCAACTTCCCAGTCTGCAGGTTGCCAGAAAAAACGGTAATCTGCAAGAGTCAGCTGCTTAGCGGCTGAAGGAAGAGCCAGTTCCTCCTTTGGGCATCTGCACCCCCAGGCCATGGGGAAAAAGGGCAGCGAGGAACAGCTTGCCTCTCCCTGCAGCAGCTGTCCATGGGTGAACTGGAAGGGGGAGGCAGGAGTTTATTTTTAAGGGATTTGTGAAACAAAGAAGATTTGAACTGTGATTTTTGTCATGCCTCTTGAGCTCAAGAAAGGCATATTGGTGTGTCTGGCCCTGATGAACTGTATGAATAGCTGTTTGTTTAGCGAGCCATTATATGCATTGTTTTACAGTTAGCATTTCTTATCCTTTATTCATAGCCTTTTCTGTGCTCTCTTTCTTTGTGTCTTCTGTCTCTTGCTTTCTTCCCCCTCTTCAGCAGGCCTCCTATGCTGCCTCTTCTTTCTCTTCTGTCTCCTACTGTGTCCAGCAAACTAAAGTGCCCTTCACCCCCGAGGACACCGGTGCCACTCAGGGCCTCACTATGTCAGTCTCTAACTCCTTTCTCAACCGGCACAGCTCCTTTCCTGTGCATTCGGTGAGTTGCTCTCCACGCTTTAACACGTGTGCGTATTTGTGTCGGTGAAACGCTTGTGTGCAAATTCTGTGCTTATGCTCTCAGTTGCAGGTAAAGGTGAAGGTTCTTTTGGGGGCTTTTGAACTCATGTAGTTATCAGCCAGGTGAGAAAAACTGCGTGTAAATCCTAGTAAACAGACCGCAGGGGAGGTGTGGCTTTCATTATTTATATACGTGCCAGTATTGATGTTTCTGGTGAGGGACTGATGAGGGAGAGCTGGCCTGTGTGCCCAGGCACACTCCTTTGACCTACATGTTCCCCAGGCTGCACGTTGGAGCTGCAAAGTCCTTTTATTCCGCTGTATAACGCTAGCGATGTAGATGAGTCAATTAATGGCTGCTGTGTGAGTCTGGCCTTTGGAGAAATAACAAGATGCCGTCCCCAGAATACATAGATTTAGTCAAATGTATGGAACAGTGCAGGTCCTTAAGTTTTTTTCTAGAAAATGGCCTCTACCAGTCCCTTCATGTCTCCAGGATCCCAAACAAGCTCAGTAAGCTTGTATGATTTGGTGACGAATGAGCAGGGTTTTCTCTCCTACAGCACTTGTGAGCAGTCTGAAGACAGAACCACAGGAGGAGCTGAGAATGATTTAAATCGAAATAAGAATAATCTTAGAGCACTGCTTAAATCTGTGATCAGCTGCTTAAATTAAATGCTAGTAATAACAAAGTGTTAATGTAATGAAATTAAATCTAACCATGGGATTCCAGCAGCTCATCAGTATGGGGCTCGTTTGCATGTAAAACTATGTGGTTATGCTCTGATTGCCGTGTGATGACAACTGAGAATAGGCTAGTTTTTAACAGTGACCTTGATGTTTAGTAAATTAGACTTCTGCTGGAGAAGAAATTATCAGACAAGACTTGAAAAAATTCAGAAGTGTTCAATTAGTTTAATATTAAATATTTGAAAATGGTGTCCTCCCATTGTGCCACTGCTATCTTCCCATTTCAACACTTACTCATTCTTTAAAAATTAGTGATAATCGTGGGTCCAAAGAAGAAGAAAGTATTCAAGTGCTTTACAAGTAGCGGTACTTCACAAGCAATGAATTAAAGCTTTTGTCTTCCACTTGTGTGAGAGCGCAGTAGCATAGTTTCGCTGCACAGATGAAAAGGCTGAGGTGTGGAAAGGTTAGTGCTTGCATAAATCTGTGGTAAACAGTTTTAAAATGTGAAGTAATGCAAAAGTTCTGGATAGTACAGCTGTCATGTTTGGTAGTAATCCTCGCAAGCAAAATACAGAACTGTAAGACAAGGTAAAAGCACTTCACTATTTTTGTTTTAATTGAGAGACTATAAATATGATAGTATAATGTTCTAAAAATATGTGGGTACTTCAATTTAAAAAAGTGTCCTGGTTGGTTTAAATGGTTACTACCTACTTAATTGCTCTGACCTGTTCTCATCTTGCTTTGGACTACATTATTGTGAGTATATTATTTTATCAAACGTTAAAACTTCATTAAAAAATCCTTACTTAGTTTTGCAAGGTGAGGGATGACTGAGCATGAGGAACAGTGAGAACAATTAGGCAGTGCACTGTCAAATGCACAAAGGAAATAAGCTGAATTAAAAATGGTGATTTTTCCATTAATGCCTTTAAATTATGATAATCTTGTGGTTGCTCATGACTCTAGCTGGTCTATTTTTTCACAGGCAAAAATGAGATTTTTCACTATGACACTGCCTCTTTGTTTCTGAGCTGCAAAATACCGATGTCCTTACATGCATCATAGCTGACCCATGTAATACCATAACCATGGTTTATCCCATTTTCCCTATCCGTAATAAGACAAAGATGTGAAACAGCTGTCAAGGTTTGGATCATTCCCAGGGTGACACCCTGCATTTCAGCACTGAGAAGGACCAGAGTCCCTCTTGCAATCTGCTCCGGAGCATTGGCTGGAAAGACCACGTGCTTTCACGCAAGGGATGCCACAAGCCGCACCAGGAACGCTTTAAGCACATCACTCTGCTTCTCTTATTCTCATGTCTTCATTTTTAACTCTCTCACCAAAGAAAGGCCACTCAAGTGAGCACTGTGGTGAACAATAAACGTCTTAAAAAATAAGCAGTAGCTTTCCGCCAGCCCCAGCAAGGGAGTTAATGCTAGGGAGAGCACACCCTTCGTATACCAGCCAACTGAGGAGTTGGCCTCCTGTGTAGCCAAATATCAATGGTGATTATCAAATCTCTTAAAATGATAGGTCTCCTACATTAATCGTTAGCCATTCCACACAGGAAGCAAA